TTGCGATGTCCTCAACGTTCGCATCCGTAGTCATTTCGGCTCCAGCGATGTCTTCGGGCAATCGTGCGAAGCTGGTTCAAGCAATACGGAGGGCAGCGAAAGCTGCGGGCGTTCACCACTCAGCTGCCCAAGGACACTGCTGCGAGGGAGAAGGTCCAGGCGCTTGCACACCAGGTCGAGTCTTCCAACGCCGACGCAGCAAAGAAGGCGGAGGTGGTTTGTCAACGAACCAGAAAGAAAGGGCAGAGGATTGCCTGCGGTCCAACCCGCCCGGATCTCGGACGAAGTGGTAAATGTGCTTCAGTTGTAGACCAATGATGCGTTCGGCCACGTGGAGCATGCGAAAAAATCAACACATCAGACGTGCTTCGGCCTTCTGGCGGTGGACAACCCCCTGGATTAAAAAGTGGAGACCGCAGGGGCCGAGGTTGACGTGGTTTGCCTCCCGTTAGGCAGCGGGGCCCTGGGACAATGTTGGATTTGTTGCCAATTCCGGAGTTTCCGGTGCCTCCATCATCCCTTTTAATATTATAAAGGCCAAATGGGGCTCCGACCGGAAAGTGGGATTCTGCCTAGGACTTCCTCAAAAAAAGTTTCCGGTCGCCTTCCAGGGCGACCGGACATTCTGCCATGCCACCGGAAAGTGGCGATTCCGCGTGGGACTTCCTCAAAAAAATATTCCGGCCCCTTTTGAGGCCGCCAGACAGTGGCGATTTCGCGTGGGACTTCCTCACACATTACTTTTTGTCGCATCTCATGCCACCAGAAAACGACGATTTCGCTTGAGACTTCCTGACATTCGAGTTTCTGGTCTCATGTACGCTCACACTGACGCCGCGGACCTATTCCTCTTCCCACTCTCTCCTCTTATCATTCACAGTATTGGTTTGTTTCGTGTCGCATTGCTCTCCGTGCAAGTATGATCCAGTTGCCAAGCCTCGCGCGGCACGGTCCAATTTCTGCTCCAGGGCGGAATGTCCGCAGGGATTGGCCGTTGCATCGCCTGGCCCCCCTGTGGGAGGTTCGATCCCAGGGTCATTTTGGGGCGACGCGGTTGACCCAGGATGTACGGTCCAGAATAGACGATCCAGGATCGATGATCGAGGATACACGATCGATGACCCAGGACCGACTGTGGAAGAGCGAACCCATATCGATCGGAAACGAGGCTTTGGGTTCCACGGCCGATCAAAGTTCGACAACCACCTAGCGATTGAGGGTCGGAGATCGAGGGTCGCGGATCCAGGGCCGTTCGGACATCGAGGAGCCAGGATCGAGCGGCCACGATCCGTCGAAGTTCGACGCTGGATGGCCGATCGAAGAGCGACGATCGAGAACCGATGTTCCAGGCTTGATCGAAACTCCAGGCTCCAGAATGCCTGGCCGATCGAACATCCATGATCGAGGTTCGATCGAGGCTCGAGGATCGAGGATCGAGGGCCCCAGATACTTCGAGGGTCGTGGATAGAGGTCCGGTCGAACAGCGACCATCGACTTCCCAGGATCCAGTCCCGATCGAAAGTCGCGGCTCGAAAGCCGAACGACGGACGAATACCAGGATGCGGTTCTTTCGGTGTAGCTCCGATCTCAACTATTTAATCCAGGGGGTGGTTCAAAAAATTGTTCGTTTTGCGATGTCCTCAACGTTCGCATCCGTAGTCATCTCGGTTCCAGCGATGTCTTCGGACAATCGTGCGAAGCTGGTCAAGCAATACGGAGGGCAGCGAAAGCTGCGGGCGTTCACCACTCAGAGCTGCCCAAGGACACTGCTGCGAGGGAGAAGGTCCAGGCACTTGCACACCAGGTCGAGTCTTCCAACGCCGACGCAGCAAAGAAGGCGGAGGTGGTT